GAAATAAACATGTTTCTCTCATCTTTCTGTCTCCTCATCCCAACTACTAGCCAGCTTTTGGTTTTGTTTTGTTTTTGGAGATGGAGTCTCACTCTGTCACCCAGGCTGGAGTGCAATGGTGCGATCTAGGCTCACTACAGCCTCCGCCTCCCAGGTTCAAGTGATTCTCCTGCCTCAGCCTTCCGAGTAGCTGGGATTACAGGCATTTGCCACCATGCCTGGCTAATGTTTGAATTTTTAGTAGAGACAGGGTTTCGCCATGTTGGCCAGGCTGGTCTCGAACTTCTGCTAGCCCCCTTTCTGACACCTCTTGAAACTAACTTGAATGCCAGTGTATGTTGCAGAATTCAGAGAAGACGTTTCTTAACTCTAATACTTCAGGGTGTGTGTGTGTGTGTGTGTGTAAGACAGTCTTGCTGTATTGCCCAGGCTAGAGACTCCAGCACTTCCTAGCTATCCTGACTGAGCACCTTTATTTAGATTTGTTAAAATTTGACTAGAGACAGGGTCTCACTCTGTCACCTAGGCTGGAGTACAGTGGTATGATCATAGCTCAGGGCGGTTTCAAACTCCTAGCTTAGGCAATCCTCCTGCCTCAGCCTCCCAAGTGGCTAGGACCACAGGTATGTGCCACCGGTCCCAGCTAATTTTGTAGTTTATCTTTTTGCAGAGATACAGGGTACTGCTATGCTGCCCAGGCTGTTCTGGAACTTCTGTTCTCAAGCTATCCTCCTGCCTTGGTCTCCCAAAGTGCTAGGATTACAGGTGTGAGCCACCATGCCCGGTCTTCATTTAGGCCTGTTGCTCAATTTATGGGCATGGAGCTGGCTTAATAATGGGAGTCAGGAGCTGGTGGGTTGCTATAAAGCATGCCAGCTCTTTTCCATGCAAAGGCAGTCTGGGACCTTGGCCTACCACCCCAGGGAGGCAGGCACTGGCAGGAGTCAGCGGGCTCCCACACAGCAGGGGGCACTTAGGCTCAAAGGCTGTTTGCGGGCTATGTGAGAGGACAATCCTCAGGGAATTTTTAAATAATTGAGGTAAAATTTACCTAACATAATCATTTTAAAGTGAACAATTCAGGCCAGGCACGGTGGCTCATGCCTGTAATCCCAGCACTTTGGGAGGCCAAGACGGGTGGATCACCTGAGGTCAGGAGTTCAAGACCAACCTGACCAACACGATGAAACCCTGTCTTTACTAAAAATACAAAAGTTAGCTGGACATGGTGGTGTGTGCCTGTCATCCCAGCTACTCGGGAGGCTGAGGCAAGAGAATCGCTTGAACCCAGGAGGCAGAGTTTGTAGTGAGCCAAGATCACACCACTGCACTCCAGCCTGTGTGACAGAGTGATACTCTGTCTCAAAAACATTAATTAATTAAAATAAATAAAAAATAAAGTGAACAATTCAGTGCTATTTAGTGCATTCCTTTTTCTTTTTTTTCTGAGACAAATCTCACTCTGTCACCCAGGCTGGAGTGCAGTGGTGCGATCTCAGCTCACTGCAACCTCTGCCTCCCAGGTTTAAGTGATTCTCCTGCCTCAGCCTCCTGAGTAGCTGGGACTATAAGTGTGCGCCACCATGCCCGCCTCATTTTTGTATTTTTAGTAGAGATGGGGATTCACTATGTTGGCCAGGCTGGTCTCCAACTCCTGACCTCAAGCGATCTGCCCACCTCGGCCTCCCAAAGTGCTGAGATTACACGTATGAGCCACTGTGACTGGCCTGTTTAGTACATTCCTAATGTTGTGCAGCCAACCTCAGGGGCTGTTTGGATGCCTTGAGCTGAGTGTTTGTCTCTCATTTTTCATGCCTCCCTGGCAAATCTCCAAGAACCACCGGGTAGGCTGGTAGGGTGGCTGCAGGGATCACCTGAGCATGGAAATGGGAGGCTGGGGCAGCATTTCCCTCCACCGCTCTACGTCCTCAGCCCCTACACCTGGATACCTTGACATGGACTTCTGATTTTCATTTTTTTACCTTGCCATCTGGCTGGGGTCTTACAAATGCTTTTGGCTTTTTGTCCCCAGGCATTTGCCTGATTAGACCCTCTGTCGATTAATCATCTTCATTCTCCCCTAGTGGAGTCCCACTGGGCAGAATATGAAGGAGAATCCCAGTAGGGTGCACAGGGCTCCATTTTCAGCGGGAGGAAAAGGTGAGCATGAGCATCAGGGTTATGCCTCATGTAGACCTCCCCTGGCTTTGTACAAAGGCCCCTGTTCTGGGAAAGTTGTCGGGGAATCAAATTCTTTTCTCTTTTCTCACTCTCGTTGTCCAGGCTGGAGTGCGATGGCGCAATCTTGGCTCACTCCAACTTCTGCCTCCTGGGTTCAAGTGATTCTCCCTCAGCCTCCCAAGTAGCTAGGATTACAGGTGCCCTCCACCTCGCCCAACTAATTTTGTATTTTTAGTAGAGATGGAGTTTTACCATGTTGGTCAGGCTGGTCTTGAACTCCTGACCTCAGGTGATCTG